CCATCAAATAAAAGGTAAAACGTTGATCTCCGGACGTGCTGTTATGTTTTTTGAAATTATTTGTTCAACAATCAAAAATGACTTCAAAATAACTGCATTTTTATGTTTTTTGTGGATACATATATACGTAAAATAAGGTGACTGAATGCTTTTTTTAGGACAAAACACATGAACTACAGGACAATCCTTAAGGCGCTCTAAGAGCGGTGCCTGTGCGAAAGTAGCGATTCACGTTGGGTTCGAATCGTTGGAGATTGAATTCATTTGGAAAAACGTTCTCAGGAAGTTTATTCCACATAAACGCAGTCATCATTTGCCTCTTCTACCCATACAAATCTCCTAAATATCGTCGCACTCTTGGATTCTTAAACACTGATTTCAAAATGAATCAAAAACAAGCCGACGAAATGCATATTTGCTGTCATAACGGACCACCAAAATTCCCAAGTCTGACTGAATTTTTTTTTCATTGTAATTTTAACATTTAGGATCATTTTTGTAGCAAATAAAGTTTTCATTTTATAGTAACGAGTATATCTTGAAACATATAATGTCCAACCAACTGAAATTGGCTGTACCTTATTTCCAAAAAAATTATAACTGTTGATTTCTGGTGGATATTCCAACGAAACTAATGCAATACTTCACAGGACCTAGAGCTTATGCTTGAATGTCTTATGTACAAGTACATTTCAAGATTCTCCTCACAGATTAAAAGAAAGAACCTCTAAAACAACACCGTTATCATGTCTCAGCCATCGTATTCACCAGATTTGACCCTCTGCGATTCCCTAAGAAGCTCAAGGACAAATCAAAAAGTGCACATCAGAACTGCTTCGGAGAATGAAATAAAACGCTGGTAGAAGTTCTGAGGAGGCTACTTTGAAGGGGATGAAATAGAAATTGATGGATTTGCCTTATTTTTTGAACAGACAGCGTGTATGAGTATTTAACACAGAATTTCACGACTAGACAAAATAACAAGTTTCACCTGCCAAAATGCAATCTGTCCAACTCTATAAAGATTTTGTTATAAAAGTTTCCTAACGAATACAATGAACTTCCACAAAATATGAAGGAAATTAGTAATCTATTTCATTTAAAAAAAAAGAATTGACTACTTGTATTCTGATACCACTACATCATATCTCACTTTTATATTGGGTTTCTTAGCTTAATCATCTGTTTAATCTATTGAAATCTGTTTTTCGTTGCCGCCCTTCCTACGAACGACAACTCCCAGAAATCGAGTTACGGATTAGCGAGGTCTTAACATTCAACGTGCGATTCGCAACACGGATTGGACGGTGGGAAGTGATAATCGATCTTCCGGCCTCTGAGCTTGAACCACCGGTTCACACAGCGGTCGATTGAGTGAGTGCAGCAAACCACTCATGCCTTGGTGAAGTCTCTGGAGACCTTTACGCGAGCATTGTACGTTCGATATTTTTGAAAATATAGAATACGTTAAATTGACAGTAAGTAAATCCTCTTCTTTTCAAAATATTAATACAAATCTATGATCGAGAATCTAAATGTTTATAAATGTTTCTCAAATTCTCATTGTCCCAGATAATCAAACGAAACGCTTTATTCATTTCTCGTAACGCAATATTTTTCCAATTTAATTTCCACTCGTCGCGACGTCCCAAAATCTCGACGATGATAAAGGAAGAGCCGTAATCGAATAAATGGCCGATGTAAAACTTTGTCGAACTCGCGTAATGTTTACTTTCTCTCCTCTCTTTCTTGTTTCATTCCCATCGATTTGCACTCGACATGTCGGAATGAATCGTTTATAAGAGGTCTTTCTCGCAATTCCCAGACATTAGCACTCTATAAAATCTGAGTTGGCAAGTTTTTTTCCGTTTTGTTTTTTATATAAGTTGCTTGATTCGTGTTGTAACTAGTGCTCTGACGTATTCGACGATTGAAGTTTTTTGTGAAGCATCCACATGTAAACACAGTTCTGACATATTTCGTCGCGACATCAACTTCTAGCTCCCTTTTTATTGATTTACTTAGGCGTTATAAAGACGGTGGTTTTTGTGTGGGAGAGTTGTCAAACAGTTTGTGTTTATATATTCAATAATTTTGAATTTTTAGCCAATCCGGCCAACTTTATCTCCTAAAATCAGCAAATGATTTGTTAAGTTATTAGGTGAGTTATTAACTTCTTTATAGTGCGTTTGTGAAACACGAAGTCCGCCCATACTGACACGGCCAGTGTTGCCAAGTCATGTTCATACTTAACAGTAGATTTTGCATTAGAAAAACAGAATAATGATATAAAAAACAGAAAATTTATTTTTTCTACACCCTTACTAAAATAATACACTTCCCCATAATTCGTTTCATAATGAGATCCATTATAATACAGATTTTTCATAACGATACAGTTAAAATAGAATAGAAAGATACAATAATAGAAACCCATAATTTTTAAATGAAGCATGCTGTGCATTTGACGTTTGTCTCAGATTCCTATCTAATTGTTTTATTTGTCAAAATCAGTGGGTATTAAATTTTCATAGAATACTAGTACAGGTTGCTGTATCGCTGCTGTTCTAATGTTTTGACAGAATCAGAATCAACGAACTTAGACATGCCCAGTGTTATAGAACAATGCTTTTAAAAAAATTGTTCTACAGCGTCATCTAGTGGCGCGTTACAGAAAAATTGATAGCCTAAAAATCTTCTCTATGAAAAATTCTTATACATGTCAAGTTTCATCACGATCTATCACATCCATTTTTATATATATGATAGCTACACTTCGGTAATTATATTATTAAAATGTCTGATATCAGCGATATAGAATTAACATCGACTCTTCCACAAATATCGGAAAAAGCAGAAAATACAGTACGAAATATTTTACCCCAAAAATCTAAGAAAGTGTACGAAAAACTATATCAACGGTTTGTGGACTGGAAAAATACAAATAATATTTCGTCCCTGAAAATGTTTTGATTGCTTATTGAATTGAATTGATGGAAACTATGTAGTCATCTAGTTATGTTAGGTTAGGTCCAAAATGAGTGGGTCTATTCGATCTCCACCGCAACCCGCAAGGGTTTATTGTGACTCACACCTATTTACACTCGACCAAATAAACTCAGCTTCTTAACGAAACCGATAATAGTTTGTATGGTGAGTGGTTTTCCAGATCAGATGGTTAGAGTACGGCTTTGCCATACTCTATGGGCAAATTTCGGATATGCGGTTAGTTACCTCTTTCACAGGCAGATGGGGCGATTACAAACATGTTGTTTGTCGTTAGTTTCAGCCTAGTTCGAGGAATGGCACTCTGAAGGAATTAGATTTTCAATTATCGGAAATCATCGACTTTATGTTGATGAAAGACACTACTTTGCACTAACGAGTGGCCAAACAACTCGAAACCGGTCTACAAGTGTGTTCCAATAATATGCAGGGATAACTTCTTTGAAGAATTCTGCACTGACACCTAACGGATATAATCCAATTGCCCTTCGTGGTATTAGCCGGGGGAGTAATTGTTTTCTGATAGGTGTCAGTCCATCAACCTACAGTGTAGGGAGTTGAGACTGGCCTGAACGAATTGTTCCTTTAGTTGATTTGATATATTTCATTAATTTCGAGAAAACTTAGTACCTACTAGATTTAAAGTAGACTACATTATGAGATGCAGGTCCAAACCTAGCCTAGGTCATCCTGCTTTTTATTTAATTTATTTTCTTTATTTTCTTTATTACTGAATGTTGAATTCTTTTAATTACATTTTTTGTTGGCAAAGATTTTTGGAATGATGGGAGTATGACCTAAAATGTGAAAATTTCAAAGATATGAGTGGAATTTTGATTTTTAATGTGGTAGAAACTAAAACAAAAGTACAACGAACATTCATAAATACCGATGAATACTATATGCATACGAAATTAGTTAAAAATATATGAATCTACGGCCTAAATTTTGCCCTACTCCATCTTTTTCGTTAATTATTTTATTGGAAATTGCACAATTCAAAACATTGGTACTTATTAATCAATTTGGTAATTTAGGGAAGCAAATAGCAACATATTTAAATCTGCCTGATCCTAATTTATATATAGAGCATTGTTTGCGAGGGACATCTGAAACCGTATTAGTTGATGCCGGTGGTAATATTACCGCATTGAAACGTCATGGTGGCTGGAAATCCAATTCAGTGGCGAAAGCCTACATTGAAAATTCGATTCAAAATATAAACAGCATTTCCAATACAATATTGAACTCTATTGAGACTAGCAAAAGTAGCGATAATTAAATAAATGTAAATATTCCTTCCACTTCCATATCAATGGGACCTGGAATAAACGTTTCAAACTGCACAATAAATAATATTTTCAAAAAATCTAATTAATTTCAATTATTATGTTCAATATAAATATTGATTTTTTAAACAGAAACAGATTACGGAATATTGTTGGGGATGCAGTCAAAATTACTGGGCTGCTGTTCAAAGAGTACTCTGTTATATGGCTTTTGAGAATGTTTATTCCCTTTATCAAGACATCAGACACCCACGGAAGACCGTGGGTTCGATTCNCTGCTGGAGAATAATTCCATGAAAATCAAAAGATGAATAGATAGGTACTATTCTGATCACTCCCATATTGATTTCAATTCGAGAGCCACCGGTAGACAGCTGTTTCAGCCTATTGGGCATCGTCAGTACCGGGCAGGCGTTCCTCGATTGAAAACAAAATGTGAATAACCAAGTAGTTTTCGAACTTCGATATGCTCGGATTTCTCATTTATTGACTAGCCTAAAATATTCTACCCTCTCTGGCTGCCCTAATTCAATTCTTAACAGTAACGTGGTTATATGGTGACGGGAATGAAATCCAGATCATATCAATTAACACGCCCACTTGATTTCATTACTGCCTTGAATTTTCTCCCTGAGATTCTAATCAAATTATAATACTAAATGATTAGACGCGTTTTATATTAACATCAGTTTTCTTTTGTTTCAGAATGTCGAGAAGCTTCTCATCGAGGCCGGCCGTGCGCTGGTATCTTCGCACAGCTGGATAACTTCAATAAAATTCATCGATAAAAGGTTGGTACGCCCCATTGACTTTCCTCTACCCTACGGCAATGTCTCCTTTCTTCCTCGTGTTTCTCTCGTCGTCTTATCGCCTGCCGAGGGGTGGGTTTTCCATAACGATGTCGGGGAAAGGGGGGAGGCATGTGCTTGTATCCTCGTTGCATTCTTTGCCGTATGGCATTTGATTATTATTTTACAGTGTTTCGTTTGAAAAAGATTTTTAGTTTTCGTAGAACACTATTTTTACACGCTTTATATTAGCTTCACCTGTATGTATGTATGATTGTTTGTATGCATGTTCGCTTGTAATTCTCAAGCTCGGGATCTGTATTGACAAAATTATCGACATTATTGCTTGATCTATTCGCGGGCAGATGGCGCTGTAGGTAACCTCCTTGATAGTTTGTTCAAAAGAAAATCAAAATAAATATAGTTTAAAAAACTAGAAAACACGCTTTTAAAGAACATAGAACTAAAAAGTTGAAAATGAATATAGTTTAAAAAAACTAAAAAACATGCTTTTAATCGATCAAAAAATACTATTGTGACAAAAGCGTGGGCGCTTTGTGCCATATTTTCTGTATATCTAGCCTAGGCTTTTTTCACAATAATACTGGTATTTTTCGACCGTTATTGTTTTAAGCTTATTGAAATATTTTTAAGTTTTTAGTTCGATGTTCTTTAAAAGCGTGTTTTTTAGTTTTCTTAAACTACATTTTGTTCTTGAAATTTTTATATTTGAGCATGCATGACAAAAATAAGCAAGACGTGTCTGGTGTCGATAAATCCAAGAGTTTGTGTCGAATAAAGTTGGCAGTCCTTTTTCAGCAGCCAAATTATCGGTGATGGTAGTGAAAAAAAAAACAATATCTCTTATCAGGGCTATTTGTTAAACGAAACATGTGTTGGAAAATACTTATGTTCGGATTTTATCATTCCGAGGTGAATTACACCTCGTCATATCCTTTGCAAATAAATCATATTATAAAATGTTCGTAAGATGTCTCCCAACGCTTTCGTTATATTGTAAGATGTCAGTATTTCATGGAGGTTGGTTTGCACCCCTTGAAGAATTTTGCAAATAGATGAAACTCGTAGTCAATGTTCGTAACACATCATGCATCAAGTCTTGTAGATTTCAAGCTGACAGTATTTCTTTGAAAGGACTCATGTCCAGTATTTATCATTTGGGGGTGAATTACATCCCTCCATAACCTTTGCAAATAGGTGATATTGATATGAAATATTTTTAACATCTCTCACAACACATTCTGTGAATTTTGAACCAGCAGTATTGTGCTGAAAGGGCTCATCTCCAATTTTCATTATTCTGCACCAAAATCCTTTAAACATTTTTCTAGAGGTGATTCCGAATCGAATGAGCTATCGCTCATATTTTTAGGACCTTTATATCTATTTTTCATGTTTTTGAACTTGTTGATTAGACTAGAAATTGATAAAGAGCAACAAAAGTTTGTTTTCTGACAAACTGTTCTTATCAGCCCTGGAAACACTCTCTCCGGCTGGTGTATGCAGCTCTAAAATAATACATTCGGCAGCCATAATAGTATAATGGAGAGATTCCGGTTGATTAATTGATATTGAGGTTGTCGATATTCAAGTCGAAAGATTCCCACCTCAAGGATCGCAGCAACATTTCCATATAAGGGCGCCTCTAGGTCAGTTGTATCTGACGATGCATTATGTTCAGCCGTGCAGGGCTTTGTTACCTCTGGTTTGGTTGAACCATCATTTGAGTTGAGCATTTACTGATCTCTTCAGAGGGAGTTTGTTATCTTTCTCGATGCAAATTCATAACATATTCTGTTTTTGAGGAGACGTTAAGACTGCAGCACCTAGCTCTTTTAATAGGATCAAGACTTGGAAGGTCAGGTGCTTTGATAAGCCGAAGTTTTCAATGTTGTTGAGGAAGACACCTTCCATTGGCTAATCCTTGTGTTGCCGCAGGAGTGCAGTGATCTCTGAGACTTATATATGGGCACTGAATGGTCTCCAACTTAGTGACGGTGCCCGGTGATCACCTCGTTCAGTGTCGATAATTAAACCGGGTTCATCAGCCGCTCTATCAGCTGCCCTAAAAATAAATTTTCCAAATCTTGGAGGTTTTTACGTCGAGTTGATAGAGCTCCTCTTGAACCCTTTTCATTACTCCAAACTAGTAGAGTAAGATTGGAACGGCCAGCAGATTCGTGCTAGCNGCCGCAGATAGAGTTATTTACTATTGTTACCTCTTGTGAGTGGCGTTGTTCCACCTCGAGGTAAGTATAAATCTCTCCGGCATCCAGGTGGTTCAGAATGCTTCCATCTACTAGCTGCACATCCTCTCCGTAATCCGTGCATCGTCCTCTTTTGAGATGGACCCTTGCACATTTGTCTACCCCGAATTGCATACCAATAGCCTGCATGTACTCTTTTTCCACCACGAAGGAGGTTCTTTTATCTAGAGGCATAGAGTTTAAAATCATTTATATGATATAAATGGGGGACCTTGTGCCACCGGTTTCCGGCGGTGCCAAAGTACGAGTATTTCTATGCAAAACGGAAAATGGCAATAGTGGGAACAGAAAAGAAGGGAACTGATGGAATCGCTCTAAAATACACTTCTTCTGTTTGGACTCCAGCCTGACGAGATGTTATGGTGAAGCGAGTCCGCCAGAGTGGTATCTATCTATAGATAACTGTCTTATCATGGCAGTATTGTTGTCCCAAAAAACACATGATACTACCATCATTATAAATCATAACACCTATACGTTTACAGCCGTTGTTTATCAGGTGCAAGTGATGGCTGTTTTTTTGTTCGACGCAATACATGGCTAATATCCGTGTCTTTGTGAAAAAAGATTTTTAATTAGTCACGAGTGACTCCGAACAACTTTACGCTGTTTCTCTAGTCCTTTACCACCCGCATGCAACCTATACGCGACTATAAAATCGCTCGTAAAAATAATCGCGAAACCCCGACGTACATCATGGGAAATTACCAACGCACGTTTTGCGATTATGAGTACAGTAATTTCTGTTGAGAATACCACCGCCTCCAGAACACTGTTGAAAGTAATTGTGTTTCTCAACTTATTTTTTGCCAAAATATATTTTTCTAGAATGTTGTTTTTTTTTAACGGTGAAAATCTGACCTTACTGGTATAGTCGAAGTAACCTGTATTATGAATAGTTAAAGCTATCGGCATCTCAAAGGCCAAAAAAACCAATACAGAGAAATAATACCGCTGCCAACTAGTCCACGTGGACTGAAGAATTGGCGGTTCGTATTGGATTATGTTTACCAACCGAGTTTTATGATTGGCTGAAGAGTCATAAAATTAAATTTGAAGTCATGTTACGGTGACGAATAGAATGTGGGGATGAGTATCGCCGTTATGTCGTCAATGTTCAGTTCAGGGACTGATCGCGATTCGTGTTGAAATTCGATATTGGTGCAGTTATAATCACTTGACATATTTGTTATCTGTTTAAAATGTGGCGTCCTTGGACAAGTACTAATAGTAATAACGAGTGTGATAACTACGCAGACGTTTCCTGTATAGTGATTCGGATAGCGATGGTGAACAATGCGAAAAAGAGATACCAGTGAAGTATGTTTCAATGTATATAAGAATCTACATCTCGAATTTGGTTTCGAGGGAAACAAACTATTAAAAGCAACATCAGATTTGACCGAAATTCCTTTCTCAACTGTACGTAAAATAGTCGAAAACAAACCTTATGAACGCAAGACGCGATGTGATACGGGATTACCAAAACTTTTAGATGTTTATCTAATAAAATCATTGAAATGAAAAACATTATACGACTGTTACAAAACAATGAGATTCCTACAACTGAAATAATAAGGAATAAATTGAATACTTCCAGCTATAACGTGAGCTGCTGTGACAAAACTCTTCAGAATTGTATAAAGAAACTAGGAAAGCAGTTATGGAATGCAGAAGAATAGTGGTATTGCGTAACAAATGCTTAGAACAAATAACTAAATATAGACAAGAACAACGGCAAATTTTCTATTTGGACGAAACTTGGTATGACGCTCACGACTCAGTTACGAAAAAGTGGGCTGATGGTGCGAGAATGTGTACGCCTAACATGCATGCTAACAAAGGATCGCGAATAATCATTGTGCATGGCGGAGGAAGTAAAGGATGGGTTCCGAATTATTTGAAATTATGTGGAAAAAAACTTGAGGACTGCAATGTTGACTATCATAAAAACATGGAAGCTAATATTTTTAAGGAATGGTTTGAAAACATATTAATCCTAAATTCAGATGCGAATAGTGTAATAGTTCTTGACGTCGCTTCTTATCATTCGCGACAGCTCATCAAAGTACCGAATAAAAATTCGAGGAAAGATGAAATACTAAGTTTTTTAATGGATAACAATTTGTATTTTGAAGAATAAAATACCAAAAACCAACTGCTTGTAAAAACATTATACGACTGTTACAATACAATGAGATTCCTACAACTGAAATAATAAGGAATAAATTGAATACTTCCAGCTATAACGTGAGTTATGGAAAGCAGAAGAATTGTGGTATTGCGTAACAAATACTTACAATAAATAACTAAATATAGACAAGAACAACGGCAAATTTTCTATTTGGACGCTCACGACACAGTTACGAAAAAGTGGGCTGATGGTGCGAGAATGTGTACGCCTAACATGCATGCTAACAAAGGATCGCGACTAATCATTGTGCATGGCGAAGGAAGTAAAGGATGGGTTCCGAATTATTTGAAATTATTTGGAAAAAAACTTGAGGACTGCAATGTTGACTATCATAAAAACATGGAAGCTAATATTTTTAAGAAATGGTTTGAAAACATATTAATCCTAAATTTAGATGCGAATAGTGTAATAGTTCTTGACATCGCTTCTTATCATTCGCGACAGCTCATCAAAGTACCGAATAAAAATTCGAGGGAAGATGAAATACTAAGTTTTTTAATGGATAATAATTTGTATTTTGA